GTGCATATCCGGAATCATGAAAGAAATGAACAAGGAAGTGCTCCTTATTGCAAAACAGTTTTTCTGAAAGAGTAGTTGAATGAACTGGCTTCTGTTTCTCTGGTGTGTTTCTGTTTGTATCTAGGCCTGCAGAGTATGACCATCTCCAATCGCCAGCTCAAAATCACAGTTTGAAATGCCTTTGATGATGTGACAGCATATTTGATTTGCGAGGCTGGTGTTCGAATGCCCCAAACTCAGCACAAGCACTGCCAACGTGCAGCCTGTGATCAGCCGGACCAGCACTGTGCAGAGGAGACAACTGGAACAACAGAGCACCGCAATGGACGTTCAATAAACCATCTGAAGCAAAGAAGGAGAGAAATATTGAAGATGTGAGACAGTCCAGCCACAAAAAAGGTAATATAATCACAGCAGATTCTCACTTATTGTTTCAGGGTCGAGGGTCAGACAGTGACGTGAATTCTGATTGTCTTACTGGGTATTTCTGTTCCTCAATGAAAACAAGAAGTCAAAACACCCACACAACAAATGTGTCTCACAGTTATTTAATGCTTTTTGGAAAATGTCAGATTTGACTCTTCATTTCCAAAGGCTGAGCAGTAAAAAAATGACAGTGATGTAATTAAAAAGAGCAAAATGCCCATATCATAACAAAGTAGTAGTACCTGTATAAATGAAAAAAAAGTCCATTGAAGTAGAGCAGTCTGTACTGTAATGGTACCAGGTTTGATGAAATACTCCCCTCTAGTGTTCAATCTACAACATTGCAACTTTTTTCTTATAGAAAATAAAAAATAGTGGCATCTAAAATATTCATGTGCATTTATTTTCAATACGATTAACAAAATTAAAGTGCTTCACATGAGTCGAGTATAAAACATCCAATCAAATCAAAGTATAATGTAAATGAAGTTTAACAGACATCACACGATAAAATTGTGTCTTAAGAAATGACTGAAAGAAAGTTATTTAATAACTGAATAGCAACACATGAAATCATTGATGAGTCACACACCCAGGAAGCAAATAAAAACCATAATGTGATTAGAGATTTAGATTTTCTTCATGATCTTACTTACTAGCAACTAAATCAAAGTACACCAAGTTGACTTTCTTAAACACAAACAACATAATGGATAGTTTCTGTTGTTTTATTTCTTTCATTTATGCTTTTTAACGTTAGCATTAGCAACTGTTTACTTACCCTTTCTAGAAGAAATGTTGTGAGTTCAGCATCAAACTTCATTCCTTTACTCGCCAAGAGCTGTCTCCAGCAGTGGAGAGCAAGCCTCTTCTTGCTTCTATTTCTTCTCTTATGCTGAAGTTTGCTTGCTAACCAGCTAGACCCGGTCTGTCTTGTCACTTTCCAATACCGAGTCACTGTAGCCTCCAGTCTGCCCTGAAGATAGATACATAAGGCATATTATCACGTCTTGTCCTGTTAATGCAACATTGGCTGAAGCTCTTAGTAAGACTGGTGAGTAAATAGCTGTTAATGCTGTTTTAAGGGATTTTTAATACAAAACACTTCTTTAAAAATGTATTCATTATCCTTTTCAGTGATAAAAACCAACAATGAACTGACCCTAATAACAAGTATTGTCTAGCCAAAGCCCGATCTATCACATTCCTCTGTGCCATAGAGCTCTGTTGTTGTCCACAAACTATACAAAACACACCAGTGAGCCATTCCATTGCTGAAGGTGACATGTTCCTACATTACAATGAACATGGGTTTATTTTGAGCAAGTCCTACATATACCATTCTGGTGCTGTAAATGCTCACAACTGTGTATTAATGCGCAGCTGAAAATAGTCCCCAACAAATACATTATTTGCTTCTGTTTGAGTAATGTTTGCTAAAGTCAGCTGTTTTAAGAAGTTAGACAGCCTTTTGAAAAATAAATCTTTGTATTTGTGAATCACATTTTTATGACTTCTTTAGGAATGATTGGGCTTGGGGTTAAGACCCCTAGATGGGTTATGGAAGTCGAAAAGTACTGAGAGACGCACTAAGACAGTGATGGTTTTGGACTTTTCATGGATTTTTTGACAAAAAAAGGCCTCAGTATGAACAGTCTGCAGTCTTATTATGGTCTCTTAATTTTTAAGATGAAACATTACTGGGAGAATTACTAGAGAATTTTACATTCCACACTTGCAGTTCACTCTTATTCCAACAGATGGCAACCTCAGACAGGATCATGTGAAGAACCATGAAGTACTTCGTGCTGATATGGAAACACGGCTGGAAATACTGTGTTAAACACACATGCTGCAAAATCTAAAAATGTGTAATGTATAATTAATATTATATGATAATAAGAGATATAAGTGATACAAAGGGATACAAATAAATATCACACATGAACACACACAGAGACACACACACACCTCCAACACTCCTGAGGTGCTTTACAGCTGCATGAGACTGACATCATGTTGTCCTCAAATCAGTTAGCACCGCCTGCCTCTGACTATTTTAAAACACATGCACACATGCATGCAGTCATGCAGACATTCACTCACAAAATTCATGAACCCTCTGTTCTCCCTCTCTCTCCCTCTGAAAACACCTCCCATTCCTCAAGAGGCGTACCCTCGCTGTGTACAAGTCTATTTTCTTCCACTGACATGTCCTCACTTCAGCAGCTACACTGCACCTTCTGCTCTCACTGTGCCAATTTTAGCAACACACACACACACACACACACACACACACACACACACACACACACACACACACACACACAGTGGCACACATAAATCCCCACACACTCGCTCATGTGCACATATGAAATACATGTAGACAGTAGCGCACACACACATACACAGCTTGTCAACACCCCTGCTGCTGCTAACAGATGACAGGAGGCCTCGGGATGAAGAAAGATAGTCTGAGTGCTGTGGAAGCAGAGGGCAAAAATACATGTTTGTTTAGACAGCATCCAGATGTGCTACGTGTGTTCTGAGTGCACACTGCAGCCAGAAGATATGACAGAAAGACTGAACTAAGTGCATTATTAATCAGATTTCTATGTGAATTGTCAAGCATGTGGGAACATTAAGGAATGTCTTTTTGCTCCTCTCAGACCTCTGCTGCCCGTTTGTTTCTGTCAAACTCAAATATAACCTGCTTGAAGACAGAATTTGGGTCCTATAGTGATCATCACGTGCAACAGTCTTTGTGTGTTCCATCTCTAAAACACATTCACTCACAGACCACTGTCTTGACCTAGTTTTCCATGAATATGCTAGCTTGAGGGCAGATGCGTTTCTCCCCAGAGTGAGTAACAGAGCTTTTAATGGACAGAAAATGAAAGCTTCAATAGTTAAGGAAACATCTGGCCCTGAAGAAAACAGACCTCTTGAATAGGGAAGACAGGATGTGAGTACTGTGATGTACTCTGCTGTCGAGCACTAATTTTATGCTTTTTCATTTTTCATTTACTTGCATCCTGTGTCCATCCAGTACCTATTGTATGATGAGATCACTAGAATCTGCATGATCACCAAAGCGAAAAGGAAAAGAGATTCCATTACTTTGGTCCAGACTGGAAAAAGCTCAACAACTGTTGGATGCATTTCCATGAAATTTTGTGCAAACAGTCACGTTCCCCAGAGGATAGATCCCAATGACTTTGGTGATTCCCTCACTTTTCCGCCAGCAGGCTTGGCAACAACATTTGTCGTTCACTGTTCCCAGAAGATAAATCCTAATGACTTGAATTAGGATTGATGAATTCTTTGACTTTTCCTCCTGCTCCACCACACGAGTGACATTTGTGGTTTTCAACAGCTATTGGATGGATTGCAGTGACTTTTGGCGCAGACGTTTATGTCCCCATCAGGAGGAATCCCAATAACTTTCAATTCAGCTTTTAAATACAAATTTCAATTTGTCCCTCACTGTAGTGATTGATGACTATATAACTACAAAACTAATATTCCCATCAGCCTCAGGTGTACTTTGTGTTTAGTGCTAATTACCAAATGCTAGCATGCTAAAACGCTAAACTGAGATGGTAAACGTGGTAAACAATATAACTGCTTAACATCAGCACGGAAGCCTTTTCATGATGAGCATGTTAGCATGCTGATGCTAGCATGGCTCTATAGGCCCTTACTCTTGTTTAACCTCACTTCATTGGCCTAATTTAAACATATTTCATATGTTTATCACATGTGGAACACCATTTATATGTGAGAAAATTACACAGCCTATAAAGAGGCTGGATTTTCTCAGATTTTACATGTGGTACATTAAAACGGAAAAGGAGAGGCTGTATGCAAACTGAAATTTCCAGGTTCCCAAGATTTTATTAGTGCAGTCTCTCAGGAGCTTAGAAATTTCAACGTGCAGAACAGCCTCTCCTTTTCCTTTGTCACTGTCTTTTTTTAGCCTGCATCTGCACTCAACTGGGGTTAGGGTTATGGTTAGTACGCAGATGTGCAAATTATGCACCTGTTTTTGCACATGTGATAAATTTGACTCCACAAATTCTACTCCACTACATTTCAGAGGGAAATCCTACTTCTTGCTGCACTACATTTATCTGACAGGTAGCCTACTGTGTGACTATTAGATGCAAAACATACAAAATGTATGATCCGTTTATTAAATAGGAAGTTGTATGAAAACATACATTTCACATAGTTTTTTGGGGGTTATTTGAAAGGATTCCTTAAATTTTCATTAATGCCTTTACTGTAAATAAGCAGGAATGTGAAAGAACTGGAGTATTGTGATTTTACTGTACGTGTGTGACTCGCTCTACTCTACCCTTCTCGCATAGAAACATCTTCTCACATTGGATTCCCCGGGTTGTACCAAGCAGGGGTCCGTGGACCAGTGTTGGTCTGTTGTGATGGAGCCCTTCTTACGAAAACGCTCATTGTTCATCTGCACGTGAGGGAATATTTGCTGGTCTGATTTCAAATTCAAGGTGATACAGAGGCGGAGACGTGTTTTGATGCAAATTATCACCCCCCTCTCTGCTGCTGCTGCTGCTGCTGCTGCTGTCGCTGCTGCTGCTGCTTCCGTGCCCGCGTACGTGAACGCGCTCCATCGCTGTCATCAGTAGCCTACAACATCAGCATCTTCCGGGGGGCGCGCAGGAGAGAAGCGGGAGGAGGAGGACGGAGAAAGAGAGAGAGAGAGGGGGAGAGAGGGAGAGGAGACATAGGCTACTGGATAAAGGCTACGAGAAAAAGCATGATGATAATGGAGTCGAGGCGGTGGAGGATGTCGGATTTACGAGAAAGGACTGTTGAAATTTGACAGAGGGGCTCGTGTTGAAACCTTCTCTCGGTTTTTTTTTTTTTATTTTCATTTCGTTGTGTTTGATTTCTACACGGTGCGTGGACACTGAAGGCGAGCAGAGGAAAGGGGAGCACCCCACGGATGCCTCGGAAGGTAAAAACGGGGTCCACCGCTGGCGCTACAGGCAACAAAACGCATCTCATCTCACGTTTGGTAATAAAGGACATCCTGAAGAAAGCTCTCTGCTGATGGATGAGGATGAAAAACGGCTTTAACCCCCTCCAACCGACGACTGTGAAATAAAGAATATCCTATTTTGATGGATTTTTTTTAATCATTCATGGTGTAGCCCCGAGGAAACGAGCCTTAGACAGCAATGTTGAATCACTGGTCTTGGTAAATTATTCATTAGTGGTATAGGTAGGCTATGATTTTGTATTGCTTCAATGTAGCATTTCCCACCCCCATTCATTTTTATAATGTTTAGTCCTGTGAGATCACATAGGCTACATATTTGCAGCTTACATTTTTATCGTGTGGTTATGTAGGCCCATTTAATAGCCTTTAACAGCCACATAAGAAACAGCCAAAGCGGGGAGAATATTGGCGCAGGAAAGCTTTGACATAGAGAAGGTAAAACAAAAAATACAAGATCTGGATAGTGAGGGGTGTCCAGCTGTCTGGGATTTTTTTTAAAGATTTACATTTTTTTCTTGAAAGAGTCTTAAGAGGAGGAGGACGGGGGTGGAAAGAGAGCTGTAAGAAGAAGAAGAAGAAGAAGAAAAAAAACGACCAAACATGTTGCCTTCCCAAGAAGCCTCCAAGATTTATCATGACAATTATATGCGCAACTCCCGGGCCATCGGGGTGCTGTGGGCCATCTTCACCATCTGCTTCGCCATCGTCAACGTGGTGGTGTTCATCCAGCCCTACTGGATCGGCGACAGCGTCAACACGCCGCAGGCCGGCTACTTCGGCCTCTTCCACTACTGCGTGGGCACCGGGCCGTCGTCCAGCCGGGAGCTCACCTGCGTGGGCAGCTTCTCCGACTTCAGCTCCATCCCATCCGGAGCCTTCAAGGCGGCCTCGGTGTTCGTGCTGCTGTCCATGGTGCTGATCCTCAGCTGCATCGCCTGCATGGCGCTCTTCTTCTTCTGCAACACCTCCACCGTTTACAAGACCTGCGCCTGGATGCAGCTGCTGTGTGGTAAGATGACTCTCATGTACAGCTCAGGATACATTTTTTACTTTTTCAGTCACATAGATGCAAATGACATGGCCCTGGAATCAGGTAAAAACCCACCCAGAACTCAACTCACCCTCCTGTTTTGTTTGCATGAAAAGCCACCTGCAGTATACAGCGAGGATACAATCATATACACTATGATTTCTTAACAGAAAAAAATCGAATTTTTAATCAATGCATTGCCACATTGGATATTATTTCAGAAGCATTTCCACACAAATCTCCAAAAATATGTTTCTCTCCGTTTTATGCACCTAGAAGCTTTTGCGGGAAAGGACGATAAAACTATTTTATATAAAATGTCGAAATGATTGAAAATGATAAAAGATGACATACAGTCCCTGTAAAACTGCAAAATTGTAAATTCCCACGTGCATTGCATTGTTGTGACATCATCAAACATCATTACGGACTCCTGAGGTCAGTATATTGAGCAGGCTACCACTGGAACTATAGAAATATCATAGGGATACCATGTGGGTAGAAATAAGGTGGAATGTGTGTGTGTGTGTGTGTGTGTGTGTGTGTGTGTGTGTGTGTGTGCGTGTGTGTGTGTGTGTGTGTGTGTGTGTGTGTGTGTGTGGCAGCAGCTTCGGTGTCTGTTACTCCACTGAAATCAATATGCTGTAGTCTATGGGTGTATATGCCAGGTCTTGTTACAGTTAATTGGGAGTGTTGCACAGATTTTTCCAAAGACAGTAGGAATACATTTTCAGCCATTATTCACGCGGATGTAACGCACCGAGAGCATTAACAGAGCCGCGTTACCATCTCTGTGGATACACCACTGCATCTGGAAAGAGAGCGGCAGCAGCAGGATCATACCGTTATGCTGATGAAATGCAAATGTCATTCATTCATCCATCTCAGCTCCTCGTATATATACGATGCGGTGTGGCGTGATGTAGCCACGGTGCACTGGACACACGCGCTCCTGCGACCATCGCTATTTTTGAGGGATGATTCCAGGTCGATTGGATTATACTGTGTTTCAGGGAGGTTCGTGTTTTGTCTCCCGCTCGTGTGGGTAGATTACAGTTTGCAGGAATGACTGGGGATAAATCGTGGCTTTCCCAACACATGCAGGACAGGAGGCTACTGAGTCGTGCTACCTTCACGGACAACTGGCGAAAGAGGAGGGGGGTGGGGGGTATGTAAGATTTACAAATGGACGCTTCAGTGGTTCAGGTTGGATATGTGCCTGTTCCAAAGACAAGAGCCTGTTGGAAATGATGTGAGAAATGATAAGCACTTTAATGACAGTGTGACATTTTAATAATAACACCAGCAATGAAATATTCACAGAATTCAAGCTTGATTTGATACTAAAAGTCCATCTTGAAATGATGTGCTCTCCTGTCAGAGGGTGAAACTAACTTACCTCATCAATTTTTATCATAGATTTATTATTTTTTGGAATAACCCATTAATTGTTTGGGGTATAGAGTACGTCAGCAAATGGCAGGGGGGAAAAAGCCAATGCTAAGCTCCCAGAGCCCGCTCTGACATCATCAAACATCTTGTTCTGTCCAGCCAACAGCCCAAAACCCACAGATATTCACTTTACTAGCACAGAAGACACAAAGAAAACAAGCAAATATTCGCATCTGAGAAGCTGGAATTTTTCCATTTTTGCTCAAAAAATGAGTAAAACAATTAATTGGTTTTGTACGTAGTTGCAGATTGTTGTCTGGCATCAATTTACTGATTAATAGACTTTCCTGACTTTTTATTCTACTGTCAGGATATAAGAGAGTGATGCTCATATTGACTGATTATTCTGGAATGCCCACACAGGAAGATTAAGATTTATTGCTCCTGTCTTTTTTAATTGCACTGCTGATTTTCAGTGCTGGTGCTTGTGTTTTAATGCATCATTGTTGTGAGTGAAAAAAAAGGCTCAAATAAAATGTTTAATCCATGGTGATTAGATGTCATGAGGGCCAAGTGAGTAAAATGACCATGTCGGCAAGATTTAACCTTTGAGTGGTGAGAGCAGCATGTGGTGTATCTGAGAAGGCGCAAAAAAAAAAAAAAAATCTTTTTCATGCGCGCATTTCTAGCGAGCCTCCTGTGTATATCCGACTCCTTTATAAGCTGATCAATGTGATAAATAGGCCAGGCAGAATAGCGTGGGAGTCAGTTTTCTGTACAGAAACAGTCAGCATACTGAATGAGAGGGAGGGAGAGAGGAAGAGAGAGACAGAAAGGGAAAGGGAGAGAGAGAGAGAGAGAGAGAGAGAGAGATCAGCAATGTTTTTCCTTCTGTATTGTTCTTTTCCTCATCCTCATCTGCCCACTCTGTCCTCTGTTCTGCCGAGTGTGTTGAAAGGGTTGGGTGCTCCACGATCAGCACGAATCAGACAGAACAGCAGAGGTACAGATTTTACTCTCTTTATCTAAATCTTCATGACTTAACAGGAATTGAACCTCGGTCTGCAAACCATTAATCATAAAGTAAAACATTAATTAAAAAAAAAAAAAATGCAGTGGTGGATAGACTTTTCAGATCCTAGAAGTCACAATAACGCAAGGTAAAAAATTCTCAGTTACGAGTGAAAGTCCTGCATTTCAAACCTATTTCAGTGAGAGGGTCTGTAAACGTTTACCTGTGATGGTTCAGTTTTGATTTGTGCAGGCGCAAAAGCTGGAATTGTATTGGCAGTATGGGATTTTGTTTGCACCCAGGACGACACCACGGGGGAGGATTTGTAATTGGTGGGACAAGAAATTTAATATTGAAAATTCAGGCTTCATTTGATTACTAAATATCCACTTTCAAATGTTAGACTCTCTTGTCAGAGTGAAACTAACATTTATTTTCATCATCAGTTTATTTTCCCAATTATATAAATTCATCATTTTGTCTATAGAAAGTCTTGAAGTGCCTTGACTTGTCCAAGATATTTAGTTTCCTATCACAGAGGACAAAGGAAACCAAGAAAATATTCACATCCATCCTGTTATAATGTAGAAGTACAGATGTGTTATCAGCAAAGTCTTTATTCTACAGAATGTGACCTCTGTGACTTGAATATTATTATACAGGACATTAATAAATTGATAATACTGATGCATCAACGCGCATGTAGCAGTTTATGGTTGTAGCTGTTCAAGGTGGAGCGAGTTTTACCTATGTTCTATACAGTTAGGTGGTTTAGGCCAGAGGTTCCCAATCTAGGGGTTGGGCCCCTGCAAAAGTTCACGCCGCCTCTTCCTCTGATAAATGAGGATAAAAATATGTGTAGTGATAATAAGGGTGAAGCGTACGTGATGCGGAGGAATGTTGCATTGGTCCATAAAATCAGTGTGAACGTGATGACTCTGTTGAATCACATCAGGCCCCTTTTAGTCATCAATACACTCCACATCTCCACCATCCATCACCGTCTGGCTGAAAAGGTTGGAGGTTGATCTCTGCACGGCAGCAAGGCAGAAGCCCGCCTGACAGATACTTCATCTTCATCACATACATTTTGTTTGAATTTTATTATTTGAAATCACAAACAGAAGATTGGACTTTGATTTCTATAATTTTCTAGATGTTTGAATTGGCTTTTGATGATGTATATTTCAGTCTTATTGTCAGGGTGTTCAACAAAATCTCTATGTTTGGCTTGCTCAGTTCTGACTACAATAAAAAAAATATCTCACTATTTTTTTATTTTTAAACGTAATAAACACCTATGTTACCTCTAAATTGCGAGTAGATGTCAGAGTTTGTGAAACTTCAGAAGGTTTAACGTGAAGGCACTGACAACTCCCTTGGTTCAGATCAGGGAAAGTTCACAGTCTACGCTCAAAAACGAAACTCATCAGCAGTTGACATGATATACTCATCAAAACCATCGTGAATGCTCAAGGAAAATCTTTTTTTTTAATGCGGTTGTAATTTTATATACTGATGGGTAATGTAAATAGTTCTTCATGGTTAGTGCTAGAAAAGTTGAGAAAGTTGTGTAAGAGATGATGGATGATTGATCGAAAGCTTGGAGGTTAAAGAGACGAATCACTAACCTTATGAGTTAACAAACCTTTTTTTTTTTTTTATTCCCCCAGAGACTTCCCTAAATGGGTTGTACTTTTCTATTTTCTGTGACCAAAATTGTGACTACTCTGTGTCCATCATGCACTTTGGTGGACATTTCGTTTCCAGTTTCAACAAGGTCATTTGGTTTCTGGAGCTGCACACCAACTGGACTTGAACAGATGTTTGAGTTCATTTCACATGAAGATGCATTATGTATGATTGCACTACACTGGATTAGCTGCGGGTACTACATTAAACTGTCTTCAGTCTATCAGTGTTTCTGTGGATGATTATAAACATTCTGTGTTGTGTGTGGTAGAAAGGAACACTTTTTCGGGGAGGGTCAGGGTGGAGTTTGCCCGTAAAAGGCCAGCGTCTGTTTAACACGGTATCCAGTCCCCATGAATTACTTAATCTAGTCTAATTCCAACGCGTTCCGGGCCTTAACAGGAAGGACAGTGCCTTTTCGTTGTATCTTTAAGTAAAGGTCATTCAGGGTCTGTATTTCCTCGTGCTGACTTTCATGCAGGAGGCTGAAATTTGTGTCCGCAACAGCGACCATGCGCAATAAACGTCAAACCACCCAACTTTGATCATTTCCCGAACCATAACCAAAAAGGCAATTTTAGCCGCGCCAACTGTAACCTATACCCTTAACCACAATTTATTACAATAATCCCATATTCCCCCACCTTAAAGACGTCGCTTCCAACCAAATAGAAAGTGCTTTAACATTATTATTAAACATGTCCTTTATGATTTTTTTTGTAAAATGCAAACATATCATTAGCGAAAATAAGCGGTCAACACCGATGACTAGACTCGAGACACCAAGCGGTTTCAACTCATATAAACCTAATGGACCAATCCCGTCAACCTGCTGGGAAATGGGGGTGGGGCAAATAAACCAGATCTTGTCACAGCAGCAAGAGTTGCATTAGCACAACCGCAAACACTGTGTTACGCCACTGCCAGTCACAAGCCTTACAAACAACGTAAGCAAATACAAAGATGCGAACTTGCTAACCGTTCTGATAAGTCTGCTTGGTCACAGATTTTGGAAGTGACAAGCCTACATAGAGAATAAATAAAAAGGTCATGTTAGTGGTGTGTGTGGGAGGATCAGGACATCTGGACTTACTTGCATATTTGTAGCAGCAAAAGGACTACAAGTTGTTAAAGAATAATTCACATGTGGAAACCCTAACAAAAACATCCCATCCAAAATTTATGCTTCCCCTCTTAACACTCAAGCAGGCAACTTACTTCCTGCTCACCTTAGAACACAAAATGGGACTGGCTAACAATCATATACTGCACACATTCACTTGGGCAGGTAATCAAACAGTCAGGGCTGGCACACCCATGGGTCAATTAGCTCAACAAAAGAAACAAGCTGTCATCTTTCTAAGAGACGTCTGCGCTTCTAATCTGGAAAGACTACTCTAGTAATTTTCTATAAAATCAGCCACTCCTGAGACATCATGAACATATCTGTAAAGCCTCCCACTGAGAACCTCATACCCGAATCACATCTCTAGCGTCTGATGGAGAAATAGCTGGTGTTTGAAATGCTGCGTTTTGTTTTTTTGGCTTTTTCTTGGAAAACAATCTTACAAAGGTCCTCTGAAGAAAGACAAAAGGAAAGAGGACTGGGTTAAAACGTTGTAGCAAGACAGGAGGAAAATGCGTTAAAAAAACAACAACACGAAACAAAAGGTTTAATGTTATGTTTTGTGAGAGAATTAAAAAGGTGATGGAAGACAAAAACAGCTTTGAGGGGAATACACCTCAAAGAGACCGCAGCAGCTGCGACTCTCCTGTAAAAACACACAGGTTGAATCATTTACGTGTCCCAAAATAGACCCATCTGTGTGTTGGTTCAGGGGTAATGGACAGATGAGCGTGAACTGTATCAGTTCTTCTTTGGCCTGCACACACCAATAATGACAAATAGATGTTATTACCAGCTATGTCTTTCTCTTTCTCACTTGTGTGTTGTGTTGTGTCGTGTTTTGGTGTGTGGTTTTGTTGTGTTGTTGTGTGTTTGTGTGTCGTGTGTGGTGTGTGTGTGTGTGTGTGTGTGCTGTGTGTGGATGTCGTGTGTGTGTGTGTAGATCCACTCACTTTTTGCAACGGATCAGGCAGAAATTTGAAATTTTTCCACGGGCCGGCGAGAGAAATTCGGAGTGAGGCATAAAAATGAGAGAACGAAAAGTAGGACAGTGGAAGGAAAATGTGAAACAGAAAAAAAAGTGAGAGACAGAAGAGAACAGTCTAGTTTTTACCCAATTTCACTCTTCCTGTCTGGATTGATCTATAAGAGGATGTGTGTGATCACATTTGATAAAAATGACGGAGGCTAGTATGTGTTGTGTGTGTGTGTGTGTGGTGTGGGTAGAGTGGAAGTGGCAGCTAATAACCAAAAGAGGAGAAATCCTGTTTGGTTTTCCATTTCACTGCAGACAAAGGCACGGTATCGAACAAACAGTTGAAGCCTCCAGCATTTAACGTCAACTAGCAACAAAAAAAAAGAGATTTTTCCTCATTTGTTGATTCATCCATCTGGTATATGCCTCTCAACAAAAACCGTCACCCACCAGACAAATCAGCCTCACAACTCTAGGCAGCGCCCGCGCCACCGCGCGTGTCCGCTTATTACATGTCCGTCCCATCTGAACGTCGCCGCTTCTCGCTCTCGAGAGATGAGAGAGTGAGTGCTCATATAATATGTAAATGCCATATGGACATATAAACTATAAAAATAACTTGAGTTTGAGTTCGTTATTGTACCTCAGGTACACTAACAAGTTTATTGATACTAGAAACATATCATACAACAAACTGAGAGATGCGATATATAATACATTGAAGTAACTCTCTCTCTGCCTGCGCTTCTCCTCCTCCTGCTATCTCCTCTCACTCCGCTCGACTACTGATCTAGTACACTTACTGATGTCATGACTATACCTGCCATCCCTTCATAGACTATACAATATATATATAGAACTTGCTGCTGGAGCGCACGGTCATTTACACTTATTCTTTTACTGATAGTTGGCTTTCTTTAAGCTTTAACTTTTATTTACATGAACAGTAAAATCCCCTACACTCCTGGTAAATGACTGTGGTTATATAGAGCTTTAACTGTAGATAATCAGTTAGACTGAATGGACTCCGTATACATCTTCTTGCGTCTTTTGGTTAAGATATTAAAATCTCATAAACAAAACCTGCAGCAAACACGAGACGTCTCCCGAGGTATCTTACACATCCACATCATAATTCAGAAAATCTAATGCTCTAAATCAGAACTAATTGCACCCTACCTTTCTGTTCATACGAGTGTAGAAATATGGCAAGACCCGAAATATAGCATACAGGAACAAATAAATCAATTTCAATACTCTTGTTTGACGCATTCAACAACGCAGTATGGTGTTCATCACCATGATGCATAATGTAATATATGTTACTACTGTATAGTTAGTATCTTCCATTGGTGAAATAGTATGAGCATATGATGAAACATGTTAATCCTACTACATTCGACCCTATTAGAGAATTAGAATATTCATATCTTGACTCATTTAGTGCTCACTTGCCATTAACAGACACTGTGGAGTGCAGCCATGCCTTATACTGCCTAAGAGACAAAAGCGCTCGTCAATGTTGATTTTTATACAGTGGAGTCCAAAAGTCTGAGACCACTTTCTAGCTAGAATGGACTTACCAAATAATGTAAATCAATTATCCTCATTATACATTACCACATTTATACATGAATCTTTTATATTAACGTCTAAAAATGCTTCCTGCAAATCATATGTGTTCTTGATTTTTATATAAACTTTATTTTATAATCAGGAGAGACTGATAAAGGAATAAAAGAGTATGAGAAAATAGAAGTATATTTATTGTGAACAGACTTTGGTGATTACACCCCAGCAAGGAAGTGGCTCACGCAATCGGGAAGCGGTCCATAGGTATTAAGGTCCTTCAATTAGAGGGAAACTTCCCCCGGAGCCGGACACCTTGGTGGTGGTTGAAGAAGGATGGGAACGTCTCCATAAGAGCGGAGACTTTGTGATTGGAGAGGTTTTGATTGGAGACGGTCAGGGCATCCACAGCTGAGGGTGGTGAAGGGGAGGATACAGATCTTTTGCGACTCTCCACAGAGAAGTGAAGGGGGAGGGGGGGGGGTATCACAAAAATAATCTTCACTGTGCATTGAATGACGCAGGGACAGAAACACTTTTAAAGTCTGAACAGTTACAAGTGATTTGGGCTAAACGGCCACTGATGGGGTTGTGATTGGATGAGACGAGAATGAGATGTGGAGCTTAGAGATAGCTGGGGAAACTTTGCTTGTGAACTAAGAGGCATCCCGGCATAAGGAGATAGGTCTTGCCCTTGACTCGAAAGTGGTTTGCGCTCAACGTGTTGCTCCTTCGTCTTTAAACAATCCTATACTGATAGGTAACCTTTTTTGGTATTCTAGATTAGTGGCAGTGGAGCAGTGGCGTTACACACTGTTGCTATCCGCTTCTGCGATCGTTGCTAGTACCAGTCTGAATGGATGGATCGGTTTCATATTGCTTTTACAATGAACTGACTTTGCTTTGCATGACTCTACCTTGGTCTTATGTAATCAATAGCAATATCAGCCTGAAGTCCTCTCAATTTAATGGGTATAATATGATCAGAAGACAATTGCATTTTAAATTTTATGGACAGACCCTCTGGATATAGAAACTACTGCTAACAACAGCTTGCTCTCATTTCTTGTTGCATTCACAATTTCTCTCTGATTAAGATGTGCATTGGAGTCTTTTGGCTAAATGAGTAGCTTCCTGGTTTCAAAAGTACATAAATACCACAGATACCACACAAGCACAAAGCTTGATTATAGCGAAAGGCAAGGCAAGTTAACACATACGATTTCACTGAGTGTAGAAAGAGGCTGAAGAAGTGATGCACGGTAGCAGTAAAACAGGAAAAACCGATGAAAGTAAATGAGGTTGCATATTCCGGAATTCATGAAAGAAGTATGAGACGAAGGAACGTGCGTCCGTGATATCATAATAAAGCCTGTATTAAGCTGAAGCTGCTAGTGTGCTAAATGCCTAACTGCTTCTGTATCTGCCTGTGTGTACTTTTTCGCTTTGATCAGAGTGCATACCATACGAGTAAGCGCGATCTGCGCATATTACACAGCCCTCAAAAATACAGTTTGAATGCCTCTCTCTTTACCATTTTGATTTGACTGAGGGGCCTGGACGTTGTTCGAATGCCCAAACTCCTCGAATCAACTCGGCCACTATCGCCAAGTGCAGTGCGTCTGATGAATCAGCCGAGTAAAGCCCGCGAACCTTTTTGACAGCAGGAGAGACAATGGAGACAACTCAGACACCACACACCGTGAATGACTTCAAAATAACATCTGAAGCAAAGAAGGAGAGAAATATTGAAGAGTAGTAACCAGTCCAGCCACACAAAAAAGGTAATATTAATCACAGCAGATTCTCAACTTATTGTTTCAGGGTCGAGGTCAGACAGTGACGTGAATTCTGATTGTCTTACTGGGTATTTCTGTTCCTCAATGAAAACAAGAAGTTCAAAACACCCCACACAACAAATGTGTCTCACAGTTATTTTAATGCTTTTTTGGAAAATGTCAGATTGACTCTTCATTTCAAGGCTGAGCAGTAAAAAATGACAAGTGATGTAATTAAAAAGAGCAAAAATGCCCATATCATAACAAAGTAGTAGTACCTGTATAAATGAAAAAAAAAGTCCATTGAAGTAGAGCAGTCTGTACTGTAATGGTACCAGGTTTGATGAAACTACTCCCTCTATGTTTCAATCTACAACATTGCAACTTTTTTCTTATAGAAAATAAAAAAATAGTGGCATCTAAAATATTCATGTGCATTTATTTTCAATACGATTAACGAAAATTAAAGTGCTTCACATGAGTCGAGTATAAAACATCCAATCAAATCAAAGTATAATGTAAATGAAGTTTAACAGACATCACACGATAAAAATTGTGTCTTAAGAAATGACTGAAAGAAAGTTATTTAATAATCTGAATAGCAAACACATGAAATCATTGATGAGTCACACACCCAGGAAGCAAATAAAAAAACCATAATGTGATTAGAGATTTAGATTTCTTCATGATCTTACTTACTAGCAACTAAATCAAAGTACACCAAGTTGACTTTCTTAAACACAAACAAACATAATGGGATAGTTTCTGTTGTTGTTTATTTCTTTCATTTATGCTTTTTACGTTAGCATTAGCAAACTGTTTACTTACCCTTTCTAGAAGAAATGCTTGTGAGTTCAGCATCAAACTTCATTCCTTTTACTTGCCAAGAGCTGTCTCCAGCAGTGGAGAGCAAGCCTCTTCTTGCTTCTATTTCTTCTCTTATGCTGAAGTTTGCTTGCTAACCAGCTAGACCCGGTCTGTCTTGTCACTTTCCAATACCGAGTCACTTAGCCTCCAGTCTGCCCTGAAGATAGATACATAAGGCATATTTATCACGTCTTGTCCTGTTATGCAACATTGGCTGAAGCCTCTAGTAAGACTGTGGTAGTAAATAGCTGTTAATGCTGTTTTAAGGGATTTTTAATACAAAACAATCTTTCTTTAAAAACTGTATTCATTACTCCTTTTTCAGTGATAAAAACCAACAATGAACTGACCCTAATAACAAGTATTGTCTAGCCAAAGCCCCGATCTATCACATTCCTCTGTGCCATAGAGCTCTGTTGTTGTCCACAAACTATACAAAACACACCAGTGAGCCATTCCATGCTGTGAAGGTGACATGTTCCTACATTACAATGAACATGGGTTTATTTTGAGCACAACTACAAATATAACCATTCTTGGTGCTGTAAATGCCTACAACTGTGTATTAATGGCGCAGCTGAAATAGTCCCAAACAAATACATTATTTGCTTCTGTTTGAGTATAATGTTTGCTAAAAGTCAGCTGTTTTAAGAAGTTAGACAGCCTTTTGAAAAATAAATCTTTTGTATTTGTGAATCACATTTTATGACTTCTTTAGGAAATGATTGGGGCTTGGGGTTAAGACCCCTAGATGGGTTATGGAAGTCGAAAAGTACTGAGAGACGCACTAAGACAGTGATGGTTTTGGACTTTTCATGGATTTTTTGACAAAAAAAAGGCCTCAGTATAACAGGTCTGCAGTCCTTATTATGCGTCTCTTAATTTTTAAGATGAAACGATTACTGGCCGAGAATTACTAGAGCGACATTTTACATTCCACCTTGGTTCACTCTTATTCCAACAGATGGCAACCTCAGACAGGATCATGTGAAGAACCATGAAGTACTTCGTGCTGATATGGAAACACGGCTGGAAATACTGTGTTAAACACACATGCTGCAAAATCTAAAAATGTGTAATGTTATAATTAATATTATATGATAATAAGAGATATAAGTGATACAAAGGGATACAAATAAATATTCACACAATGAAACACACACAGAGACACACACACACCTCCAACACTCCTGAGGTGCTTTACAGCTGCATGAGACTGACATCATGTTGTCCTCAAATCAGTTAGCACCGCCTGCCTCTGACTATTTTAAAACACATGCACACATGCATGCAGTCATGCAGACATTCACTCACAAAATTCATGAACCCTCTGTTTCTCCCTCTCTCTCCCTCTGAAAACACCTCCCATTCCTCAAGAGGCGTACCCTCGCTGTTGTTACAAGTCTATTTTCTTCCCCTGACATGTCCTCACGTTCAGCAGCTACACTGCACCTTCTGCTCTCACTGCTGCAATTTTAGCAACACACACACACACACACACACACACACACACACACACCACACACACACACACACACCACACACACACACAGTGGCAACACATAAATCCCCACACACTCGCTCATGTGACATATGAAATACATTGTAGACAGTACGCACACACACATACACAGCTTGTCAACACCCTGCTGCTGCTAACAGAATGACAGGAGGCCTCGGATGAAGAAAGATAGTCTGAGCCTGCTGTGAAGCAGAGGGCAAAAATACATGTTTGTTTAGACAGCATCCAGATGTGCTACGTGTGTTCTGAGTGCAGCACTGCAGCCAGAAGAATATGACAGAAAGACTGAACTTAAGTGCATTATTAATCAGATTTTCTATGTGAATTGTCAAGCATGTCGGGACATTAAGGAATTCTTTTTGCTCCTCTCAGACCTCTGCTGCCGTTTGTTTCTTGTCAAACTCAAATATAACCTGCTTGAAGACAGAATTGGGTCCTATAGTTGATCAATCACGTGCAACAGTCCTTTGTGTGTTCCATCTCTAAACACATTCACTCAACAGACCACTGTCTTGACCTAGTTTTCCATGAATATGCTAGCATTGAGGGCAGATGCGTTTCTCCCCAGAGTGAGTAACAGAGCTTTTAATGGACAGAAAATGAAAGCTTCATAGTTAAGGAAACATCTTGGCCTGAAGAAAAACGACCTCTTGAATAGTGGAACACAGATGTGAGTACTGCTGATGTATACTCTGCTGTCGAGCACTAATTTTATGCTTTTTCATTTTTCATTTACTTTCATCCTGTTCCAATCCAACTACCTATTGTATGATGAGATCACTAGAATCTGCGTGATCACCAAAGCGAAAACGAAAAGAGATTCCATTACTTTGGTCCAAAACTGGAAAAAAGCTCAACAACTGTTGGATGATTTCCATGAAATTTTGTGCAAACAGTCACGTTCCCCAGAGGATAGATCCAATGACTTTGGTGATTCCCTCACTTTTTCCGAGCCAGCAGGCTTGGCAACAACATTTGTCGTTCACTGTTCCCAGAAGATAAATCCTAATGACTTGAATTAGGATTGATGAATTCTTTGACTTTCCTCCTGCTCCACCACACGAGTGACAATGTTGGTTTTCAACAGCTATTGGATGGATTGCAGTGACTTTTGGCACAGACGTTTATGTCCCCATTCAGGAGGAATTCCAATAACTTTCAATTCAGCTTTTAAATACAAATTTCAATTTGTCCCTCACTGTAGTGATTGATGACTATATAACTACAAAAACTAATATTCCCATCAGCCTCAGGATGTACTTTGTGTTTAGTGCTAATTACCAAATGCTAGCATGCTAAAACGCTAAACTGAGATGGTAAACGTGGTTAAACAATATAAACGCTTTTAACATTCAGCACGGAAGCCTTTTCATGATGAGCATGTTAGCATGCTGATGCTAGCATGGCTTCTATAGGCCCTTACTCTTGTTTAACCTCACTTTCATTGCCTAATTTAACACATATTCATATGTTTATCACATGTGGAACACCATTTATATGTGAGAAAATTACACAGCCTATTAAAGAGGCTGGATTTTCTCAGGATTTTACATGTTGGTACATTAAAACGAAAAGGAGAGGCTGTATGCAAACTGAATTTCCAGGTTCCAAGATTTTATTAGTGCAGTCTCTCAGGAGCTTAGAAATTTCAACGTGCGCAGACAGCCTCTCCTTTTCCCTTTGTCACTGTCTTTTTTAGCCTGCATCTGCCACTCAACTGGGGTTGGGTTATGGTTTAGTACGCAGATGTGCAAATTATGCACCTGTTTTTGCACATGTGATAAATTTGACTCCACAAATTACTACTCCACTACATTGTCAAGAAGGGAAATCCTACTTCTCTCTGCTGCACTAACATTTATCTGACAGGTAGCCTACTGTGTGACTATTAGATGCAAAACATACAAAATGTATGATCCGTTTATTAAATAGGAAGTTGTATTGAAAACATTCATTCACATAGTTTTTTGGGGTTATTTGAAAGGATTCCTTAAATTTTCCATTTAATGCCTTTACTGTAAATAAGCAGGAATGTGAAAGAACTGGAGTATTGTGATTTTACTGTACGTGTGTGACTCGCCTCTACTCTACCTTCTCGCATAGAAACATCTTCTCACATTGGATTCCCCGGGTTGTACCAAGCAGGGTCCGGACCAGTGTTTGTCTGTTGTGATGGAGCCCTTCTTACGAAAACGCTCATTGTTCATCTGCACGTGAGGGAATATTTGCCTGGTCTTGATTTCAAATTCAACGGTGATACAGAGGCGGAGAACGTGTTTTGATGCAAATTATCACCCCTCCTCTCTC